GAAGTAGTAGTAGTAGTAGTAGGAGAAGAAGAAGTAGTAGTAGTAGTAGTAGTACTCGTAGTACTAGTAGTTGTAGTGTGTCGCATGACGAGTCGCGTGGTTTATTCGGATGACTGCCTTGCCAGCCATCGTATAATGCCGCAGCCTTGTTGCCACTGCGACGCAGGCCTCAAGTTAATTGTGAAAGCCATGAAACCGTCATACGTATCATGTGCTTTGGTTGTGCTTAGCTACGCTGCGTTGCAAACCTAAGGCTCAAGAATGTGCATCGTACTAACACTGCACGAAGCCACTCAATTTTCGGTACGTCAAGCTTGGTCTCGTTGCAAAGACGCTTGCACTTGAGAGCCCTGGAGTCAAAAGGCCAGAGTGAGGCAGGGCTGCACATTGCACAGGGAGTTGAACAGTGAGATCGGAACCAGGCCATGTCGAGTACATCAACATCATCTATTGCATTGTGAAGCTCATGATGATGGGAGCATAATCAACACCCAGCCCATGCGCAGATTATCAGCCGTAGGCTCGGCCTGCTGGATCCTTGGCTGTTTCCCTTTTGGTGTCTGAAACACGCATCTACGCATCTTGAAGACTTTCTTTCCGACTACCTTGAACAGGAAGCTGCTCCCAGCGATGTTGGGCGCGATGCTGTAGCTGTTCTCGCTGATGACCTCGATTTCCGCGTTGGCAAACGAGAAACATGGTTTGCTTGCCTGCTCTTTTATTCTTCCACGGTGGTCATTGTTGTGTCGGCACTTGATCCTGACAACACCTTGACTGAACAGCTACGTCAGGCTAGCAGTGATGAAGCAACTGGAGATGACAAATGCCGCGTCCCGGAGAAATCACCAAGTACAAAGAGCTTGCAGAGGCCCTGGTATCGAAGATCGCTGAGACGGAGCAAGAGGACGAAGGTGCTTCGATGTGCATTGCAGAACTCGAGCGTCAGCGCGACGTGGCAATATCAGCTACCACTCATGCGAACGAAGTCCATCAGGAGAATGAGTCTCAGCGAGCGGCTCCATGAAGCAGAGCTTAGCCAAGCTCAACACCTATATGACCATGAACAAGCCGCGGTGCCCGCCAGTCAACTAACTTCATCGTCTTCGCCAAGAAGCAGCTCCATCATTTCTGCACTTGGAAGAGAAATCTCAAGGTGAAGGGATGCAAATGGATGGCCAAGACTACGAAAGCATGACCAATGAACTTTACGAACCTGCTCGAGGAAATCTGCAACTCAAGGCAGGAATCAAGGACGGAGAAGGAATTGATTCAGATCAGCAATCGGTACTCTATCCTTCTTGCTAGGACTTCTGCGGCAGCCTCGTCCTATGGCGTGGCGGCCGATGCTCAACAAAATGGCGCGTTTGGAATCGCAGCGTATGTCATTGCGACGATGTATGAGGATTTGCATACACTGTTGTGAAGTGCGGTCCCCTGCTATCTTGACTCCTAGTCAACGTAGTCCTATCAACAAGGAGAAAGCCGTCCTCGAAAGACAGGCTGTTTGGCTATTCGGATCGAGGACCAGCTCCTGCTATGGAAAGCTTTTCATTCGCGGATCTTGTGCCGATTCGACAGCAATCAGTACCAAGTCAGTCCGCACAGCACGGTTCGCACGTCGAGTGGAAACTGCGGAGCTCAAGATGAGCGTCGGGAACCCCCGGAAGGAAATGTATTTCCGGTAAGGGCAACCCCACGGCAACGTTGTCTGCGTCGTACCTTTGGTGCTAGAGGATCCATGCCCGACAAATTGCAATAGCCGGCGCCGCAGGCTTTGGCTTCCCTTTGCCTTCAGACCTTTCTTTGCTTCAGAATCTGCTTTGCTTGTGGTTCAGCCTTTGGTCTCGCCTTGGCCTTGCCCTTGGGTTCGGCCGCTACGGCTGCCTCACCACCATGCTTGTACTGATAATTTGCCCTTGTGCAAATGCCGTTCTTTCTGAACTGAAAGCACGGCCTGGTAGAATGGTCCGTTGTTGCATTTTCCTGATGAATTCGATCGTGGACGCGCCTCTGGCGTCTTCTTCGAATAAGTGCAAGGACACGTGTCTCTTGTCACCATTGCGACATCCTCCATCGGAGAAATGCAATTTGCACAGTATCCAATTCTTCGACGTAGTGTCAGCGGCTTCAGCTTTAGCCACTTTAGCCTTGCGTGAGCCTTGGCGTGAGCTCTGGAAAAAGGTGCAGGAAGCAAGGCTACGCGCTTGTTTGGCCTCCCACCGGGAGCGTTCATGATTGACCAAGATTCGATGGAAACCGAGTCCGGCCATTTGTGTATGGCGACCTTCCCTACATTCGTGTAGGAAGCAAGAAGTCGGTTGCTCACAATGACATTGTGCTCGCATAGTGGTTTTCTAAACTGCGTGTGAGCCGATCAGCCGATCAGCTGATCGGCTTTTCGGGTGGTCGAGTTTAAGGAATACTGTTTAAGGGTTTGGGGTTTCGGTTTTTGGGGTTTTTCGGGTTTAAGGTTTAGGGTTTTGTGTTTAAGGGTTCATGGTTTTGGGTTTGATTTATGGGCAAGCCGAATGAAAGCGACCGCTGAAGCTGCTTCCTCTTTATGTGGTCGGCAGCCCCCGACCACATCATACATCAGGAAAGCTACGTGGATCTTCAGCTCGCCATCGGGCTGCCCTGGACTTCCGTGGCTCCTTCTGGGAGCTATCCTGATCTTCTGTGCGGGCTGCTGCTGTGGCTTCTGCAGTGCATCTGTATTCCTTTCTGCCCAGTGCAGAAGACTTCTGGGTGGTTGGTTTCCACTGCTGGAGCTTACTTGCTAGGGGGTTCTCCGATTGTCAGCAGACCTTCAGCTCTACTACGTGGCCCGGTTGTACTTGTGTCTGCATGCGTGAGGTTTTTCTAATTCGTTGTTAATTTTGGCTCAGATGAGCTTGGCTGAATGCTATAGGTTGCTTTAAGTAGCCCGTGGAACAAGTTGTGCGCAGCAACGCCTGGGTTTGCCGTGTAGCCTGTCAGGGCTACGGAGCCGGACTGTCGGCACGCGATAGAAACAACGCGGCGCGACTGCTTGCTGCAACTCTGCACTTTCGTGCCGGTTCACGAAGAGCAGGAGCAGGAGCAGGAGTAGGAGGAAGGAGGAGGAGGAGGAGGAGGGGTAGGTGTAGGAGTAGGACTAGGAGTAGGAGAAGGAGTCGGAGTCGGAGCGGGAGCAGGAGCAGGAGCAGGAGAAGGAAGAGGAGCAGGAAAGAGGAATAGGAGCAGGAGTGGAGGTATGAGCAGGAGCAGGAGCAGTAGGAGGAATCGGAGGAGGGGTAGCAGGAACAGGAGTGGGAGTTGGAGTAATCGCAGTTACACCAGTCGTAGGATGATGCAAAGCCGCAATAGAACGAGGAGTTGCCGTTGCTGCCTCCGGTGTCGCTGTTGGTTTTGCTGCAGCAGCAGTTGCCGCTGCCGCTGGCGTGTTGCTTACCTTTTCTGTGGAAGCACTTCGTGTCGGTGCTTCCGTTGTGCTGTTTCTGATGCCATTTTTGCATCTCGTTGGTGTCAGTTGCTTCTGGTTTGCCCGGATGGTAGTGTTTGTTGTCGCTGATGTGATGGGCCGCATTTTGCAGTTCGCTGTCGAACTTTTCCATTACATGTAGCCCCCTCCGCTTTCGCAGCTTGTAGTTTGCCACCCGTCCCCATCTCTTCGTGGTAGCAGTTAGCAGCTGGCGTGTCCGCTTGTCGCGGTGCCATCAAGTCCATTTCACCCTCGACTTTCTCGGCAGCGTTAGTCATGGGTCGATTCCTTCCTCCCCTCGTCTCAAGCCGCTTCTGACATTTTGCTAGAGGTTCCGTGGTTCGTATTCAAGCAGCCTTAGGTAAAGTTGCTGGAAGTTCCTGATCCAGGCCCAGGTGCACTTGGGATTCGCTTCCTGCTCCGGCATGTTATAGACTAGCTTGAGCAGAGAGAACTGTCAAGGGGGGCACAGGCCTCGCTTGTTCAGGTGCAGCTGGGAATGATCAGTTTGCCTCTGAGACTGGATTGCACGGGTAATCTGTGGTTTGGCCAGCCTTCCCTTCATCTCGCAAGCCTGCCAGAATTTCACCAGGTCTGGGGCAGCTGGATCTTTCTCCTCCCGGCCGGTGTTGCCTGCTGACAGCTTGTGAACTGCTTTGAAGTCTTGGCGAGGTTGCTGCAGCAAGCCCGCGAACTCGGGGCCGTCGCAAGTCCGGAGCTTTCCTCAGCTGGTAGGGCCAGGAGTCTCCACGAGTGGCTCGCCACCAGGATCAGGATCGTCTCCCAAGCTCCAGTGTCGGGCAGTACTGCGAGTACTGGTGCATGGCACCGTCAGCTGGCCAGGAGCGGAAGGCCGCCTGTACTACACCGAGCAGTGGGATCCTAACGATTCGTTTTTGCTGCTCTTGACACTACATATTGATATGTTGCACGGCACGGCTTCAAGGTCAAAAAGTCAGCGGCCAAAAATCTGGTTCATTTGGCATGTACTCTATCTCTACGGCTCTACACTTCGTACATGGGGGTGGTGGGATCACTAGCGCCCGCTCACCGTGGGGTTTAATTACTATAAGCCCCATGGGTCTTTACAGGGTAAACCCTGGGTTTGGTTGGGTCTTTTAACGCTACGCGGCCCGCCTCGGCTGCTGAGGGGCAGGGGGTACGGATGGTACGGGAGACACGTCGGTAGCGTTGGTGCATGTCTGCAGCAGAAGGCCAAAGGTCGTGGGAGGAAGACAGCAAGTAGACTTCCTGAAGATAGAGTTGGAGCCTCCAGAGTGGGAGAGTAGTTTGGGTGCTGGGTAGATTGCCGCCAGCTTTAGGCGTGGTGGAGGGAAGCGGGGGAAGGGGGAGGGGGGGTGGTGGGGGGTAGGGGGGGGGGTTGGGGGTGGGGGTCCACAAAACGCCAAAAAACAGAAACAGTGAGGGGGTCCAGCAGACAAAATCAGGCGAAGCCGGGCGGGGGGGGTGGAAAATGGACGCAAAAAACGCATGGTTCCAACCATTTGCATTCATGCTATCTCCAAGCTGTCCATATGGTTTGTTGCATTCCTAAGTTATCCGTTTGGTCCGAATAGGGCTGGGGGTGTGGGGAAAAGGGAGGGGTGGACGCAAAAAACGGGGTTGGACGAACCACTTCCGCCGCAGGAGGAGGATAAGGTGGAGGGTACTTGAGGTAACCCCCAAGACGCCTGGGCCGGAGGCCTCGGCGGATTACTATAAGCCCCATGGGTCTTTACAGGGTAAACCCTGGGTTTGGTTGGGTCTGGCTCGGCTCTGGGGTGAGTTTGGATGGGTTTTCCAAGGTTTTGCGTGGGGTTGAGGTTGGTTTTGTCGATGTTTTGTTTAGATGTGCGACGAGAGAAAGTAAATGGACCGAAATACCGAATTTGCTGATCAAGTAGTATATGGTTTACAAATCCCTAAATTCGGGCTCAGCTAAACCCTGCAAAACCCTACATTCCTTTTTGGCTAAACCCCAAAACTCGGGTTTAGCTGAACCTTAAGATCGGGTTTCGTTACAGCATCAGATGATTTGAGTCCGGTTTCGCTGAGAAACAACACCTCCACTGTTCACTGTTCACAGTCTTCGATCCAAGCTTGCATCAGGAACAAAATGAGAAACGACCCACCTGGATGGGTACCGTAATCGGCGTAAGGATGAGATTCGTCAACACTGCAAGTTAGAGTTCAGGCTCTCTCCGAGGCTCTCTCACTTTGTCTTGTCTGGGAGGCAGTCCTTTGCTGGGCGGCGCATGTTCGTCTCGGATTCAACAGTGCACCAATCAATCAATGGTACGTGATCCGGAACCCTTGGTCGTAGTCTTGCCCGCGGTGGCAGCAATTCCCCGAAGGTGTCTCGCGAATGCGGATCAAGCTCAACGAAAGAAGCAGTGGAACTCTTGAAGGTAGGTGTGGTGATATTGAAGCGGGAGTGCTGGCTGTTCTGTATGTTTTGACAGATCCCGTGTCTATCTTCGCTTTCGCCCGGGGGTCCTCCGTGCCGCTGGCTATCTCCATCTGAACATGGATGGCCTATGAGCGCGCATCGAAAACCTTGCTCATGTCTAGTTATTCGCCTCAAATCCGCACGGTTGAGTAGTTCCTATCCATAACGACGTGACGCCTTTCAGACTTTTATTCCTGTCGAAGCCGTAACATAATAATAATATGCCTGCCGTTCCACCGGCATGATGTTATGCCAACACTACCTGTTGAGTCATATTCAGATGTACCTGGACGATGCGGTACTTCCAATTACCTTAAACTTGTACGACGACCCAATATATGTAAGCAAGCAAAAGACCTAGACCGCCCTTTTCTTGAAGACAGGCAGGACAGGCTTCGGCTGCGAACAAATTGCACGAGCTTAGATTGGCCGTCTTCACCCGCCCTGCACGCTTGCAGGAGCACCCCATAAACCCAAGCAAGACCTTTGTTCTAGAACAATGTGGGGTTGGATTGGCCGTTGAGGCTGAAGAAAATGGGTGATCTCAGAAGGACTATAAGGACTTTCATGTTCTCATCCCGTTCCATGTCCTCAAGCCCAGCTGGTGCGCTTCTTTGAAATCCCCTTTTAGGAAGCAAGGCTCACAGGGTTCACAGTTGCGTTTCAGCTTGTATGCTCTTCCGCAGAAGGCAAGCAAACCAAAGAACCGTCATCGCGCTTCTGTCTTATGTGAGTCTTATCCCCGGCAGTCTGTGCCCAAACAACAAGAAGAGGGACCACAAAGATCTACCGCTGCTCCTCATTGGCACAGTCGAACTGTGCAGGCCTACTTTGCCCGGGGGCGCTGATAGTGGACTTTGGGCCATTCTTGCCATCGTGGTATTCCTGGAGACCAAACAGCAAGGACTCAACATGCATACCACCAGCTGTCTGCCATAACAATTCCTTGAATGCAGACAGGATCCGACAATTCTGTCGAAGTCCTTCATGGCAAGTGCAGAGATAGACCAAGAGTTCATCGACAGGTAAGCAGAGTCATTCAGGTTGTATGTAATCTCGGCTTCTTTGGTTCCCGCCCTTTGAAGGCTTGGTGCACCCTTTATGCTGGCAGCTGAACGTGCCCACAACCCAGCATTTGCTGAGAATGGATTCAAAAGCACCCACATCTGTATTTCGTGCAAGCCCGGTGTTTGAGAAGAGGCCGCATCCTTCTTCATCGCTACGAAGCAAGCCTCTCAATTGGCGATAGTGGAAAAGAACGAGCACTTGAGATCTGCATGTGCAGCATCAACAGTGCCATGGTCCGTTTTGCATACAACGGAGATGTCGATGTCAGGTCCCCGACGCTTCGGAGTGTGTCTGATGTGGCCATGATGGTTCAGTACCTGAGGCGCACCTTCCTTTTGTCGGTAGTGGATCCAGAACGGTTGAACTCTGGAATGTCTGACGGGATGTCCAGCGTCAAGCCGAGACAGTCCAGCATTGTCGGTGTAAGGTCCAGCAGACGTTTCAAGGCTTGGCAATGTACCAGATGTTTAAAACTCAAAAACTGTTTTTCTGAATCGTTTTGATCTCGTGGGCGGAGGTGTCGTCTTTCATGCCCTGCCTCGCTTGGTCCCTATCTTCAACTCCGACCTCTTCCTTTCGTCTTTGCGCTGCTTTGTATCGCTTCGTGCTGCCTGCTCCCGTCCCCAATGGCCCAAGCTGTCCAAGTAAGGTGTTTTCCCGGAAGGTGTGCACCCGGACTAGCAACCCACAGGCGACGAGACGGGAAGCATCGGGAAGCCAGAAGCCCGGCAGGGGGGAAACGTGGTGAAAGACCATCGGCGATCGACATGTCGTAGACAATGCAGAGCGACAGCCACTGCATTGCTCCCCTCCTCCGAAGACGGTCCATTCATGGCTGGAGGAGGAGGGGGAGTTGTAGCAGGAGTAAAGTAAGAGGACAAGGAGGAGGGGTAGCAGTAGTAGGAGGAGTGGTAGTAGTAGTAGGAGTCGCAGTCGTAGTTGTAGTAGTAGTAGTAGTAGTAGTAGTAGTAGCAACAGCAGCAGCAGCAGTAGCAGCAGTAGCAGTAGCAGTAGCCGTAGCCGTAGCCGTAGCCGTAGCAAGTAGCAGTAGCAGTAGCAGTAGCAGTAGAAGTAGCAGTAGCAGCAGTAGCAGCAGTAGCAGCAGTAGCAGCAGTAGCAGCAGTAGCAGCAGGAGCAGGAG